TATATATATATATATTTGCCGTACCACTAAAAGGGTTGATTTGTGACCTGAAACGGCGCGGTGGTTTGGACACGAACCCAATGGGGCCCCTCTCCAAATCAATTTTCTATTAAATTGTCCATTGCGTAGGGCTATTGACAAACCCAGCTAATTACCTGCACAGTCTAAATTATAATTAAATCGTCTTCCTCTAATTATTATATTTAGTATACAATTTTTATTATTAGTTCCAATTAGTTTACAATTAAATAGGGTGAAAATCAAATTGGACACAATGATGGAAATGCTACGGTTACATTACAGAACCATTCCGTCGGAGTTTGTAACCGTTAGATCATCATATAATCGTCGGAGATAATTAATCACACGGTTCCGTAACGGGACCGTAGCATCTCCCTAAATTATAATACATGCATTTAGTTATTTGAACAACCACAGATTGAATGGTGTAATATAATATGATGGACACATGGTATTTATATTTAGTGTATAATACAATATTTGATAAATTAGTATAAATATATTTTCAAATGATAAAATTGCATAAAAAATTACCGCATTTATAAACTTTAATTGTAATTTAAAACACAACTTTTCAGTTATGACAATGATTTAATTACAATTTTATGAACTTAAGTTTCAAACGAAAATATGTGCCTATCGATATTTTTTATATATGACTTACGTAAAAAAAAGTAATAATTTCGAAAAATCTACCACACCAAATAGTAAACTAATTAAAAGTTAATAGTTATAGTTTCGAAGTTTCGTTTTTTTGTTTTCATTTATTTTGAGGAATTTGCAAAAATAAAAAATAAAAAAATAAAATAAAAAATGAAAAGTTGTGCCTTCAAATGCCAAAATTAGCCAATCTTATAATGTTGTGTTTGAAACCTTTTTAAATTGATTTCGAGTAAATTAGCCCTCTTAATTCAAGCTTAATTAATAATCTGAAAGGTTACATTTTGGACAGGGCTACTGTTTATTAAATAAATCACATATTTTTATATTGAAATGAAATAATATAAATACTATACCTACAGCCATTTTTAAGATATTGTTTTGAAGCGGTTAGACGGATCAACTCGTTATACTTAAATATATCGACAATTCATTAGGTTTTTTCAAATAAAATATATAAAAAAAATTGGGTTAGGCCATTAATTAATTTCAGACACAATGCCTACCAATTTTAACAATAATTAATCCCATTGTGATTGAACCCTAATTCACCCTTATAATTAATTAACCCCAATATTCCCAATTAATGAGTTATTGGTACCTGAGAAAAAATACAACAGTTTTTTACTGTGTGTAGCAATAAGAGGGTTCAAAAATTTTAATTTGAGAACAATCAATCACAATCTCATGATCTATAAAAGGACAAATTAGCTACTCATTATCATGAACTGATTTTAATATCAGTTGGTGAATTGGAGAGTGTAACACTGTAGCACACTTGCCTTGGATTTTTAATGCTTTCAATAATTATTTTTAGAAAAGATAGGGGACAAGTAGACAAATTAAAAAGTAGTTTAGATGCATTTCATCAAGATGTTAAGGTCTCGTTACCAAATCATTCCGTCGGGGTTTGTAACCGTTAGATCATCATTTAACCGTTAGTTTAGATGTATTTCAAGAAGATACTACGGTCTCATTATGCAACCATTCCATCGTGGTTTGTAACCGTAATTAGGTCATCGTGTAACCGTCAGTTTAGATGTATTTCATACGGTCCCGTTACGCAATCATTCCGTCGGGGTTTGTAACCTAACTATCGTGTAACCGTCAGTTTAGATGTATTTAGGAAGATGCTACGGTCGGTTACATAACCATTCCGTCGAGATTTGTAACCGTTAGATCAACTACATGACGGTTAATTACATGATGATCCAATGGTTAAAAACTCCGACATAATAGTTCCACATCGAGACCTTAGCAAAAAAAAACACAAAAACACAAAAACCCCATCCCTCCTCCTCTTCCTCCCTCTCCCTCTCATGCTCTTGTCTAAAAGTCATTAATTTTCCATATGTAGACAAAGGGAAAGGAAAGAACAGCTTTCCTTGTTTCAGAAAAAAATTGACCTCTCAAAAACAAACCCTTCCAGCTTGGCCCTTTGCTACTTTTGTTTTTTTTTTTCTTTTTTTTTTTTATTTATTTTTTATTTTCTCTCAGCCAACACAAGGGTTTTCATCATCAAATCCAAACATTTTGATTCTGAAAATTATTCAATTTAAAAAAAAAAAAAAATGTTGGGCAAAAACTCGTACCTTCTACAACAAGCCGGAGCCGAAGCCGAAGCCGATCCCGATCCCATCCACTCTCTCGACTTGCTCTCGGCTCACTACTTAGCTCACCAAAACCCCCCTCCAGTTCTCGAGCCTCCTACAGTTCTGTACAGTGAGGAGGGGCCTTCCGGCCCGAAATCCACCAAAAAGGACCGGCACAGCAAGATAAACACGGCCCAAGGCCCGAGAGACCGGCGGGTCCGCCTCTCCATCGGCGTGGCCCGCAAGTTCTTCGACCTCCAGGAGGTTTTGGGCTTCGACAAGCCCAGCAAAACCCTCGACTGGCTCCTCACGAAATCCCGCTCCGCCATCAAACACCTCGTCGACGCATCCAAAAGCAGCGTCATCTCCTCCGACGACGATGACGAACCTGGCCAAAAATCGAGCAAAAATTTAGATAAGAAGGGAAAATCGAGCAAAAAGAATAATAGCAAACAGCTGGCGGCAGCAAAGGAGTCGCGAGCAAAGGCACGCGCGCGGGCCCGAGAGAGGACGTGGGAGAAAATGTGCGTCAAGCAGCGAATATTGGGCACGACGAGCACCACCGATAGTTACAATAATAACCCCGATTTGTTACTACATAGTTACATCAACG